TCTATTATAGAGTAACATAAAAATGAAAACTGCACGTTAAATGGCGGCTTTTGATGCATTTTTGTGCAAATATAACAATGCAAGTGTTTAGATTGTCTACATGTTTAAAAAACAACAAAAAAACACCTTAAAACATCCAAACTAGAGTTCTAAATTATATCTGGTGCATTTTAAATTACACGTTTCTACATGTCCCTTTCAGGGCGTTTTTCCTTCTATAGCAGGGGACGTTATAGGGCTGCTTCTCCATTGAAAAATTCTTTAAAATAATGCAGTTTTCCCCAAAAATTTAATCTACATCTTTTTTTTCACCCCTTTTGCAAATATATCGTGTAATTTTCATCTATGTTTTATTGTAACCGACTATAAATAAAGATTATCTTATCTTATAACAATTATATAATGGTTATTTTATAATGCATCCTTTCAGTCCATTTTGGTTTTTGAACAATTTTGTTTATTTTGAACTAAATAACTTAATTATATGGTTGAATGAATTTGACATTATAACTCTTTTTCATTGGTGGATTTTAGTTTATGGATTACGTAGGCAGTAAACAACTTTCTATTGGTCGCTTATATCATTGGTGGTAAACATTTTTGTCTTTTTCACCTCTATTCTGTATTTGTTTGACAAGTAGATCACATGTTGAGATTCTAATTTAATAATTATATCTGCAATCATCCCACGCCCTATAGATTTTGATACAACTGGTAATAGGGTTAAAAATTTAAACAATAAATTGGTATTATTATGCAAATCTAGAAATGTTACTTTCATTAGAACTTTCAAACCCTTTCTTATAGGTGTGGCATGCCCCGTCGTGAGTATTTTGCTATTAAAGACGGTGGTTTACATCTTAATCTAGAAGGTACAAGGCGTTTGAAAGAATTTTTCATCAATACCATTGCACACTTAAAGTAATTAGTGTTGGCTGAGCGTTGCATGTTGACTACAAGTTTCAGTATTTGTAGTGCTAAATTGCTTGTAAATTGAAATATGTATTTTGTGATTATTGAAATCTTTAGAATATACATTCATAAGATCTTGTCATGTTCTTATGTCATTATGTCTTTGCTTGAGACACTTGGTTTCACAAAAAGGCCTGATCTTACAAGCTTGCAATGGCTAGTATTGAAGATTACTCTCTGCTAAGGAGGTTAAAGAATGCCTCTTAGTGGATTTGTTATAGTGTATACACTAATTCTAGGGATGTTTTATGGTCTTGAACTTAATGTTTATATATTAAAATATATGTATTAGTTTATATATATATACTTAAATTTAGGCCTTTGCTTGAGACACCTGTTTCTCAAGAAAGACTCAGTCTTGCAAGCTGGCAATGACCTGTCTTGGAGATTATGCTGCTAAGGAGGTGGTAAGAAAGTCTCTTAGTAGATTTGTATGTATCTGAACTTATATTTGCTGATGTTTTGTTTATGTTTTGTTTTTGTTTGTGTTTTTACATGGCCATGGGTTTGGCTAGATTATAATTATTGGCGTCCTCTTATGGAATGAAATCAGATTTTGTGAAAGGGCGACAGCAACTTCTCGAGCCTTTCAGTCGGACATAATAAAAGCCGATCATTCCGATCGGTATGAGGGTGCTTGATTATTAATTAAAAATGAAATGTCGCGATATATACAATGAATAGCGAACTGGAGAATTTCGCAATGCAAACATTTTCAAATGAAATAACCTTTTCCGTCAATAAATCGCGCTCTTCGGGGTATTTTTATTTATCATTTTGTAGTACACAGTGGGTTATTATGGTATGTTATTGTTGTACATGTATAGAATGATGAGTTGATGACCTAAATATTCCGAAAATCTATTTATAGAGGGATGTAGTCCTATCGGTAATTCCCGGTCTCTGACCGGGATTTACTAGTGACCGGCGAATCACGTTTATTGTCCGGTCTCTCCCGGTTTTGGAGTAGATGTTTGATATCGTTACAGAACAGAACAAATATTTTACAGATAAATAAGCTTTTTTCAAAATAAAAAAATAAATATGTACAATAATTGAGGAAAAAGGTACATTTTTATGGTATTAATATGACACTATCAACTTTGAAACATTTCATTTAATTTGTTATTCGTGTTTAGTAAAGATGCCGAGGAATTATTCAAAGTTACAAATTAGATTTTATGAATTATTCAATTGATTGATAATTTAAAAAATGATAAAGAAAAATACAAATGTACATGTATATGGTTTAAGAATAAACAATATTATATATTGAAAGATTAACCATAATTTACTGACTTTTTCCAGTTAAGTTTTGACTTATAATCGTCGGTCAATATGACAATTGAATTCTTAAAATAGTAGTAAACGTAAAAACTCAGTATTAAAATAGCACATAAAACACAAAAAAGAAAAGAAAACAATATTCATAAAATCTGTATTTTTTTTTATTAAAATAGATATTACGATTATTGTATAATAAACAATTATGATCAACATGGTAATATAACCAGTGTCATATTGTTAGTAAGTGTGAACAGATACCTTTAGAGGGGGTCTTCGCAATAGCGATAACATAATAAGGGACAATTACACAAGTGTGGTTATGATCATATCGTTACACATATGGATTATAAATGATTGTATACATGTATATCCGTTGCTATTAATAACCACGATCATAAAGAAATAACAAGTAATATTCTAATCTCTAGCATGCCAATCAAAGTTAATAATGAACAAGGTCTTTCGTCCGTTCATTCATAAATGATATACAATTCTGGTAAAAACCAATTAACCATTAAAATGTTTATAAGAATATCTTGTCATCATATATCTACTAGTTCATCTTCACCTGCTGCATTTCTTGCTTGGACGCCCTTTGATGCTTTGCATCAATGCTTTTCTTGTTACTACTGTAATGATTATTGGGTTGTCACATATGGATAGACAAAGACATTTCGATTGTGTTTCTTGATGATACAAATTGTCTTATTTGTACTTGATAAAAGAATCATTTATAGGAATGTGAAACATGTGATCTCTGTTTACCTAATAATATTATATCAAGATCAAAATTTCTTTTGTGTTTTCTTTTAAATGAAAACTTATAATTTTGTTTATTTTGAACTAAAATAACTTAATTATAAGGTTGAATGAATTTGACCTTTAGAACTCTTTTTCATTGGTGGATTTTAGTTTATGGATTACGTAGGCAGTAAACAACTTTCTATTGGTCGCTTATATCATTGGCGGTAAACATTTTTGTCTTTTTCACCTCTACAATTTTTGTTCTTTCTGTATTTGTTTGAAAAGTAGATCACATGTTGAGATTCTAATTTACCCTCCTCACCAGCCCTAATTGTGTGTTATTTGTATATCTTATTGTACAATATTGTATTTTGTATAAGTCATGTTTTAATATTTGCTGGATTATGAATATTACTACTGTAATGATTATTGGGTTGTCATATGGATAGACATAGACATTATGATTGAGTTTCTTGATGTAACAAATTGTCTTATTTGTACTTGATAAAAGAATCATTTATATGAATGTGAAACATGTGATCTCTGTTTACCTAATAATATTATATCAAGACCAAAATTTCTCTTGTGTTTTCTTTTAAATGAAAACTTATAATTTAATTTCTCTTACTCAAAATTAATGCATAGATGCATCAGGCACAGATCAATCGAAGAGGACCCCGACCCCACCCACAACAAACTGATCTGTTAATATATTTTTTATTTTCAATACAAAAAGAACATAAAGCTAGCTTAAGATAACCTCCTAAATCAATATCAATTGGATCTCGGATCCTTGCTAAGCTTTCTGTCATAAAACTTTGACAGTCAAACACTTCATGCCTTGAGGCAATTTGCCGACAAATGTGTAAGAGTACTCGGGGTCATGCAGATGCTTTCAGTAGATTAATTTTGACTCATTAATGATTTTTGTGTCGCCTGCTACATAGTAGGGGCAAACTTTAGATATCATTACTCCGTCGTCCATCTGTCTGTCTGTCCGTTACAAAACTTACAGAGTATTCCTTAAAATGTTCTAGTGCAATTACATCCAAAATCTACCAGAATGAACTGTATTAAGACTATGTTTGCATATCGTTGGCATTTTCCAATTAAATGATTTTGTCAAAGTGAAGGCTGTTTAAATAATGATTTTTGTTTTTAAAGTTTGACTTGAATGATCGACTACTTCTCTTATTCTATAAACGTAGATTAAATGAATTGTTGCAGGATGGATCAGTACCTCAAATGCTTTCCCATATTTATTTAATGGGAGTTATGGCCCTTGAATAAAAAAATATGTATTGTAATGTATCTTCCATTAATTAATGTTTTTAATTTGTATCGGCAACTACACAGTAGCTGCAACATGAAACTAAGTAAAAACAGAAAGATAAAAAAAATATGAATCACTGACACCATGTTAACATGAGAGTTTACTGCTGTGAAAATTAATGAGTATAAATGCTCGTGAAAGAGATGGATGATGAACTGAAAATAAGCACAGCTTTGCAGGCAATGAGATCAAGAAAAAAGTTGAATGTAGTTCGATAAACAGTCCTTATTGAATAAGGGCTCCCCAACTACCACCACCCTCGTAATCGGTCAATTTATAATGTCAAAAGCGCAGTTTTCAACTTTTAGCCCTCGGATTTTTTTTATTATCTGCCTTTTACGCGACATTGTTTGTAATCAGTTCAGCACATGTTCTACCACTGCATAACAATTATTGCAATCAAGTAACCATTCTCTCAACTCTTCTCATTGGTTAATATTAAGCCAATAAAAATTGTAATATTTTTAATTATATGACATCATAAAGTAGACCTTATAAAAAATAGTTCTTTAAAAACTTTATAATTTCATTCACATTTGTCAAAAATATATTTTAATTTATTTCTAAACATACAAATAAGCGTGTTCAATAGCAATATATCTACAAATTGAAGTGACAGATTGACTTTGTTTTTAGTTTCATGTTACACTTTAATGCGGATGAATATTTCTACGTTCGTAGCATTTGCGTAAATCCAACATGGCGGAAGTTAAGCCAGCCACGATGGAGAGAGACTTCAGTAAGGTGATTTTAACCTTAGAAAATGTCCTGATTCCAGATGAAAAGTTATCCCCAACACCTTCGATGCAAGATGGTTTGGATCTTGAAACAGAAACTGATCTCAGAATACTTGGATGTGAGCTTATCCAGACTTCCGGAATTCTGCTCAAGTTACCGCAGGTTTGCCTTTTGTTTACACCGAAAATATTTTCCCAGTAAACTTAGCATACTGACATCAATTTAACATTTAAAACGTTCTAATCTTGACTTTCAAATTAGACTTAATATTTTGGTTTGTTTTTTCAGGTAGCAATGGCGACTGGACAAGTGTTATTTCAGAGATTTTATTATTCGAAGTCATTTGTGAAACACAACATGGAGGTAGGTTGACCTTTGATTGTTGTTAAAATGAACAGATTCAATGTTTTATATTATGCTTTTCTAATTGTTTATCACAGTTTTTAAGAACACATTACTGATATTGTCATCATTTGTAACATTTCTCCCTTTTGAGAGAATGACTGACTATTCTCAGAATCTCCCCCACTTTTCCCTTAATTTTGAAATATTCTGATATTTCTCCCCAAAATAGTCAAAAATAAAAGGAAATTTAAGGGGAGGAACTGATAAGGAGTGAATAGCCTGACTACCCTTTTGAGCAAAGCACTATAATAGATATTCAATCACTCGCACATTTAAATTTTAATCAGGGACAGAGTTTAATCAAGCGCAACTGAATTGGGCATAGCTAAATATAGTGAAATTAGGCTTGTAATAGTTAAATCTGTATACTGACCTCTCAAATATGTACAATTGAAAGATATTTTAGAATAGTCAGGCCTCGACATTAGCGGTGGTCCCTTGGTCCGAGACCACCTGATTTTGGCAAGGACCACCTACTTTTAAAAGCCGCTGGTCCGTCGGACCACTTGAATTTTCTGGTTGGTGCAGACCCATTTGGGAGAATGTTGATTTGGTCAAAAACATGTTATAAACATTTTCTTTAAAATCATTTGTCCAATGTACATGTATATGGTTCATTAATTATCTGATTAGTTAAAGAAGTTCTTAAGTCATCTATTACTTTCATTTTAAGTCGCTAAAATTTGGTTTATGCAAGTTAAAAGAGTTTAGACTTTGTGATATCAATTAAGGTACAACATTCATTCAAATGATGCTAATAATTATGCATCGTTGGATACCTAAGGTGGAACCAGTAACATTTATGTTATATTACATGTTAATTAACCGTGGGCATCCGACGATGGTAATTATGATATTGTATGGGATATAAGATAAACTTAAAATTTCATATACTTAAATAATGGCAGCAAACAAAGGGAACTTGAAAAATACATCTAGTAATTCTTTGCTACTTATCTTTATTTTAACTGTTTAACGATAGAGATCCATTTCCTCTAGAGTTAAAATTACTTTAAAAGGTTAAAAATACTCATGTTAAAAATAAATATCAACCAACAAGCAACAGGGAGGTAAAAATTAGGTATTATACATCTGTGAGAAAAATAAGCTTAACTATAGATATATATAACATTAGTTTTATTTTTTTATCCTCTAGCTATTTCCTTGTTTTATTAAGATAATTTATTAGTTTTATTAAAAATGTTAATCTATAAAAGATACATGTAATTATCATAATTAAAGAACATAAATAAGAGCCCTGTTGTGTATTTTTGAATGACATATAAAAAACCAAATAACTTTATGATAAAATACCTACTAACTTGCTTTCCTTTATTTCTGATTAGATAAAATATATATCTAAAATATCTGTTTTCTTAATGATACATCTTTGTCATCAATTTTAAACATATTTTTTCTAATTTTGCAGTAAAATGACATAATAATAATTGACCACCTGACTCCTGGAAGGACCACCTTAATTTCAAATCTAGTGGTCTGGCTAACCACCTGCTAAAAAAGTTAGTGTCGAGGCCTGATAGTCCATTTTTTTGTTTTCAGGTTTTAGCAATGGCATGTGTAAACCTAGCATCAAAGATAGAGGAATGTCCACGCAGAATTCGAGATGTTATTAACACATTCCATCATGTCAAACAAGTCCGCAATCAAAAGTGAGTATTTATCTTCGGTGCTATTTTCTAAACTTGATTTAGTTTGGACGAATAATTATATGGCAATTTAGCTACATTTAATGACAACATACAGATTTTTTGAGATTGTATCTTGTTCTGAGAATAACAATTGTCTCTAAGTGTGTATTAAGACAAAATTGTTTTAATATTTAAATAAATGGGTGAAGATAATAATCCTTCTTGGTAAAGGTAAACAGTGTTAATCTAGATCTCTCATTCTCTGATTGATGTTAATCTCTTAATTGTTTCCATATATATCAAAGTTCTAATTTTAGTGCATGTTAATACCTTTGTTTATATATATATAATTCTTTGAAGAGATTTCTACTGGAAAAAAGATTATTTGTTTCATAACTTAAGTACTAACATATTTCCAATGGTTAATGGTCTACTTTTTGTTTCAGAAACATTCATGCATTGGTACTAGACCAAAACTACATCAATCTTAAAAATCAAGTGATCAAAGCTGAAAGGCGTGTGCTCAAAGAGTTAGGCTTCTGTGTGCATGTGAAACATCCGCACAAGGTAACTGTTGTTTTAATTTTTCTGTTGTTGGATCAGTTGTTGTTGTGCACTGTATTTGTTCTATATTTTATTGTGATAACTTGGGTTTACAGGTACATGAGAATGCTGAAGTGAGAAGTGGTTTGAATGAGTATTATATTTCAGGATAGGATTTTAGAAAATGCTGAAAATTATAGAATTGGTTGAAAATAAAGTGACTTCACAGACAGATGTGTAAGACAGGACATATTGTTTTATTTAGAGAAGAAGCACTAGCAGAGAGGACCGTCATCAATAAAGTTGTGGTTTGGAAACATCAGGCTCATGTATGCACAAAGATGGTAGACACTTTGCCATACTGTTTCTAATATAACAACATTAGAAACTTCATAAAGTAGATTTAGGAGCAGTGATTTATAAGTTCCAAACTGAAAGGAAATAGTAGATGAATCAGGGAGGCTTTTTTTTTCAGAAACAGTATGGCAATTGTTAATCAGGGTTCCAAACTTTTTGTAATGTTAAACTTTTAAAAAACCCTTGAAGTTATTTTAAATTAAAAGGGGGATTGGGGATGTACCTAAAAGTTTGGGAGCCCAAAACCAAACCCAAAAAGGGTTCAATGGGGCATGGAAAAGTTATTTTGTTTCTTTCTATTTACCCACCCAGAGTTTTTTAAAGGGTTTTTTGTATCAGTGATATGAAAGTCTAACAAAAACCAGTGCAGATAATAGCACTGTCTCATTAATTTTTACATGTATATAGGTCTTGAGTCTGTATACATTTTCAGTTTTGCTTTCTCAAGATTATAGATGATCTTGATAATGAATTATAGAAAAAGATTAATCTGCTGTTTGATAGGTTGACTAAACTATCTTGTATCTATCTATTTTTGATGATGAAATTTTGTTAGGCTTTTATAACAATATGCATTGCCTTAAAATGTTTGCATGTCTAACTGATTAAATATTTACTGTAACTGAAATCAAACCATGTCAGTAAATATCTCTGTAGTTGAAACAGAGAAACCATACAATTTTTCCTACAAGTTTAGCCAGTGAAACCAGCAATTTGGTAATTTCCAAACACAATTTGGAGATTAAAAAATTTATAAGGAATTATCTAGGCCTTGTCTCAGGTTCCAATATTTGGAGAGTCAGTGTTAGGTTCCAGTAAGCGTTGTAAGTACAAAGAATTCTTTTTGTTACATTCATGCTATCTCTATCAAAATCTTGATTGTATCATATAAACAGTGTATGATGTATAGCTTTTTGATCTGTGTTGTGAGGGTACCTGAATTATGAACTATTATTCTATGCTCATGTAATTTTGAACATTTTCACTTTATTATATTTTTATGTATGTTAATTTTTCCACATTACTCTGTACATGCATTATTAACTTATATTTTTCCTTTTTGCCTACCCCAGATTAGGTGGGTAGCCAGCAAACTTGTCACCCCCAAATTGCCAATGTCAGAGTATCTGCCTATGTCACACCATTGCTCAACTGTGAAGCAAAAAGCCTGGGTAACGTATATACGCCAGATGAAACTAAGACAAGTGCCGAAAGTGCGAAATCCCCCAAGTGTGCCTAGAGATGTGTGGACATCAATCTTGAAAAGTGTTACGAAGGACTAACTGGAAATGGATTGGACCTTAAAAGTCGGCAAAGAATTTCTGGACTTATTCTGTGCATCAAAAGTGTTAAATTCTGGGAAATATTCTATTGAAGTCTAGATTTGGCCTGTAATTTGAGAGAACAAAATTCATTTAATGATACAGTAAATGTTTTCATTCTGATAATGAATATATTTAAGTAACTTTTCACAACACAAAAAAAAGAAAGATTGTTAAATATAAACAAGTCTTATACAAGTAGGGGGTGTGTAAGATACTGCACATGTTCAAGTGCTTTTAATTTGTCAGACCTTAGAATTTCAGATACATCCTTGGATGGCATACAGAAGTTTGTTACAAGGGTTTATGGAAAGCAGTAATCAAAACATTGGTAACACAGTAGTAAGATTAGTCGGCAATGAAAAGACAAGAGTGCTTAAATGAGATAAAGAACAATTAATACTTGGTTCGCAACGGCAAAATGTGGTGACAACTTGGTGTAAATCATGATCTCTTTGTTTGGACTTGCATGTTTAATTACCTTTTGTTTTCTAGTTATTTTTGGGATTCCATCGTTTGGTTTTAACAAAACATGCACAGGTAAGCATATCTTTTCTATTTTACTTGAAATGATGACTTGGAATGACTTGGTCACACTTATTCATCAGTTATGTTTTCTTTGGTGATATCTGGAAAATTAACATACAAAAAAAAAGATTTAGTGAAATTGGTTCAAAATTTTGATTTTTGAAAACTTTCTTTAATGTTTATTGCTGAGGCAATTCCTTTATATTGTTAAATTTCATTAAAAATAATTTTTTAAAAATGTATCGAAAGTAAGTTTTGATTTCTATAGAAGTATTTTAATGCTGACTTTTGTCTTGAAGCATTTACATCAAAGAAAGCTTTCACTCTTTTGTCAATCATGTTCTTAATCTTGATCAGATTTCAGGATTCAGAAAAGTTGTTAGGAATAAAGTCATGTTTTTTTGTACTTTTTATATTTTCAGGAATTACATGAATGATAGTTTCCGAACAGACGTTTTTGTTCGCTACAATCCGGAGACAATTGCTTGTGCATGTATATGGTTAGCTGCTAGGCAACTTCAGGTTAATAAATTTGTATTTGTAACATATGGTTAACTGTTTAGACAAAGATGAAGCTTAGTTTTTAATGAACTTTGTAAATAAGCTGATAAAATATTTGTATTGTACTTAACTATAGCAGAATGAATATAAAGAGATTTTTCAAGATCTTATTTTAGTTTTTATGAACTTTGTTAATAAGCTGATAAAATATTTGTATTGTACTTTACTATAGCGTAATGAATATAAAGAGATTTTTTCAAGATCTTATTTTTTGAGCTTAAATAAATGCTGAAGTCATTACATGATTATATAGTATAAATAGGTGTATAAATAATTACTAAAAATTTCTTTGTTACAGGTACCATTGCCAAACAGTCCACCATGGTATGAGTTGTTTGGTGTGATAGAGGAAGACATACGAGAGATCTGTCTTACAATTCTAAGATTGTATGCCAGGAAAAGGGTATGTGTTCAGTAACCAAAAAATTATTTATACAATAGCCTACTTCTTATTATATAAATGAGGTGTAACTGTAAGTTGTAAAATCTTAAATTACTATTGGCTAGTTAATTTAAACATATTTATTTCAATATTTCGCATATTTTACATGTTATATGTATATAATTTTTACATAAAATTGAAATGGATTAGAAAGAAAGATAACTTATATAGTTCCTCTCCCTGCTGGTTAGTTAAACTGGCTGGACGGGTATTTTTCCCTGACCGTCATTTGATTGACAGTGAATTTTAGATTAAAAATTTATTATCCGAAGTTAATTTGCATAAAAATTTGAGAGGTTCTTTGTGGACACCATATAGCTGGCATATGAGTTGTTTTTTTGTGTGTTTTTTTTCATTGCTAATAAATATAACTTTATTATTATTTTAGCCAAATCCTGATGCATTGGAGAAGAAAGTGAATGCTGTGCGAACATTACAGCTTGAAGCTAAAAAGAAGGCAAAAGGACTTTTCTCAGAACGAGACACACCAAATTCTACCTCGAGGCAGAGTAAGTGTAATATTACGTTATTGATACAACCATTTTCCATCAGGATTTACAGTACTGGTTGTTTTAAAAAAGATCCTTTGGAGACAATGTGTGGAAAGTATTTTATTGTGCCCCCATTTTAGGGGGGGGGGGGCATTTAGCATTTACCCTTGTTTCTATTAGATAATAAAATTAATTATGTATTAAAATTCCAGTCTGTGCAAACGTCCATTACTTAAATATAAATATATCTAACATTTATTAGTGTCTAATTGTCTTATTATTTATCTTATTTTTGTAATGTTTACAGTGCAAACATGCGAATATATTTACAGATTCGCCAAAGAATGTCAGTCCTAATCCAACCACTTTAATAGGAGAGCTCAAGAAAAGAATAAAGAAGGAAGCTGAGGAAAAACATGATGGGTAATTGCTCAGCATTGTTTCAAATAACTAACCCTTAGCCTGCTGGTTAACTTTGCTAGTCAAGCATGCACATCTATGCAGTGTTACCAGGCTTTATAATGTTTGTAGCTGGGTTTCTGTATTTTGATATTGAAATCGTTTAAACTTCAAGTAGAAGGCTCCAAATTCATTGAAGGGCACATACAATACATAAACTAAGTAGATTTTGGTGTATAATGTGTTAATAAATTTCAAATATTACACTTTATCTGATAGTTATAACAGATATTTGTTGACTTAAGGAGAATTTGTTCTATTTTAATTGTTAAAGGTATTGAAGCTGCAGCCTTCCAGTCAAAGTGTCAAACTCCTATTTCAGGAATCATGGTCTCCAGCTTGTCCATGTTTCTACATGCTATATCTTTATAAGTTTATGCTGAACGATCGTTTAATTAAAACGATAATAATAATATGCTCTTATTATACACAGGGACTATAATAGCATTATTGTGTTATTTTGACTAGTATTTTCATTGTCAATTATCAACTTTTTACTTGTTTTAGTGATGGATCTAAGAGAAGAAAAAATGGTGTTTCCAGAAGCCGGTCGAGAAGTCGATCAAGGTAATTTGATGTTAATAATTTTGAATGCGACTTCTTATTATCTAACCAAATATTTTTAGCTTGACTATTTTAAGTTTATTGGTTGAGATTTTGATTGCAACTTTGCAACTATTTTACTTGATATATAAAGATTACTGAAAATAATTCACTTGAAATTTTACTCACTATCAAAGACCTGTAACTGTCAACTAATAGTTGGACTTGTCCTGGTCTAAAGTTTTTTATGCAAGTACCGTTCCTTCAATCATACAACCAGTAAAAATCACCAAAGGTATTTGTGTGAAATTTAAAACTGATATATTTATATATAAAAGTGGTCATTGTCACTAAATAGATATGATCAAAACTTGTAAAAAAACTTACCGTCTTTGCTTTTCGCTCCGAATTTGGAAGAAACATTTATTTTTTTGTATGTGAGAAAACTATTGTAATTTTTAAAGGGGAAATTTGACAAATGACCACTCTTACTATTAATCGTAAGTGCAGTGTATTAGATTAACAGTTCAGATTAGGATTTCATATTTAATTTAAATTGAAAATTTATAACAAATTGCTACATGATCTTAATCAAATAAGTAAGAAAAATTCACTATGTTATTTGTACGTTTTAAGGTCATCAAGATCAAGTAGAAGTTACAGCCCAGCACAAAAGAAACGAAAGCGAAAGGAGTCTCACACCAAGAAAATCTAAAAAAGAGAAGTACTCGCCAGATAGAAGGAGCGGCAAGGATCTTCAACAAGTCTCGCAAGCGAAAACATCGATCTCGTAGCCGGAGTTTATTCATACAGTCCATCCCTGATTATAAATCTAGTCACAAGAAAAGATCGAAAGAATAAGATCCGCGATTATAAAGACAACAGAGATTATAAAGAAAATAAAGACAGATATTATTCTCCAGATCTGACATTCTCGGAAACATCGGAAACGGTCACCACTCAAGTCCGTCTCGAGACCGCAGTGATAAGTATGATAAATATGACAAGTACGGATAAGGTCCTGTACCGAAGATGATGTTAGTTACATTCTAGTGTCTTAAAAACAATTGTGATATGTGCCAAGTGGTGATGGATCAAAATCTAGTTTTAAAGGGTTACTGGATATTTGGTCTTAGCACCATACTGTATAGGTCCGCAATAACAATCAGATATTTGCAAGAAATGAATTGGTATGAGAATTATAAAGAAAAGTTGAGAAGAAAAAAAATGTGAAGCTTCTTGAGTATAGAAACTTTCCTATAACCTGTTTTCTCTGAATAATATACAGCATTGGAAAAATGATATAAAATTAGATTTCTTTTCTTATTTCCTTAATTGTTTTGTGGAAGATAAAAAAAATGTTGTAGAATGTTATTTTGTAAGAAGAAAAGTGCTCTCAGGGTTCATCTTACATCTTATGATTATCATTTGAAGTGCAATTATTATCTTTTATTTTGTTTCCCATGGTACCAAATTGAAACTATTTCACAGTGTTTTATTTTTTACAGATTTTTGTGTTATGATGTCACTTTTAAGCAATAGTGACTGAGTGAATCATATACATTGTTGAAAAAAAAAGACTTTAAGCTAAGCAGAAGTTTTGAATACAGTAAAAATATTATATTACGTTTTGTTTACATTTTAAAAGTGTATTTATGCAAGTTTAAAAATAGATAATTCAACATATTGAAAGGAAAAAAATTTTTTCTTATCCAATTGAATTAAAATAGTTATATCATAGCTATGGCTGGAAGATAGAATATCATATTATAAGTCAATGCCACAGTTATCTAGCGACTTAATCTTTTTTTGGGTACCGGTAAAATGACTTGATGCCAGGTTTAATCGCTGGTCCAAATATCCTAATATTATTGATGGTCAATAAAGTCTACACATGCACAGTTTTATCTTTAAAACCCATTGCTTCATGAGCATTTTGTGAAAAATGGCTGTTTTCATTGAAAAGTCTCCCGTTACAAGTTCAAATTGCTATAAATACTATAAAAACTGCTTCAACACTAATCAAACTTGGCACAAATGTTGACTGGACCATTACCCTTGCAACAACATGCTCAGGCTTAAATTTTCTGTTACCGAATGGCAACGAGGGGACATCTCAAAATTGCCAAAAAATCATTATTTTGCGTTGATTTTTTTCCATCAAAATTGATTTCAAAGTGCTGCAACTTCTCAATGGATTGAGATAGAGTCAAATGCTTTTCAGCGTTGGTTACACGTTACCTTAATGATCAATCTGGGTCATTTACAGCCTCTCACAAGTCCAAAAATTTTCTTGGCGATGAGGGGGACTCCGCCCCCCTTCAACCCCCCAAACAGAAGGGGGCACATCCCCCTTCTGGCAACCCCCTGATGTATCATTTGATTGGGGGGCCGCGCCGAAAAAGAGGTCACTTTTTTAACAACATTTCTCAAACAAAAACAAGTGTTTGGGGCCTAAATAAGGCATTTTTTCATCATTTGAGACAACAAAAAGGGGGGGGGGGTGAAAAAGGCGTTAAAAGGCGTGTATATGAAGTAATGGGTTAAATTGTACTGTATATTGGATAATCGATTTTTCTAGCTGTCCAGGAAAATAATGTGATGGAAAATTTTGTTGTAATGTTGTTTCATTTATGATTTAATATATATAGATTTGATTTCTTTCTTTAAACTGTTTAAAGTTTTTGAACTACTTATTTAACAGTTTTCATCATGGACTTTTTTTAACCAAGTTTGAAATTTTAAAAGCAGTGAATAATTTATGTTTATAAATAAAAGGTGTTGAGTAAAACAGCTGGAGTTTATATATTTTTTACTTTAATTGCATGAAAAATTATTTTCTTGGCTGAAATTCAGCCTTTGTAGTTTTCAATTCATGATCATTTTGATCTTTTTGTTTATTCAGCCTTTCAGGGTTTAAATGTTATCTTCAAAACAGCGGATGTATTGTCTTATTTGAAATGTACATTACATGATTTTAGTTTGTATAAATTAGATGCCTAGAAGGTTAATTTAAGTATCATGATATGCATTAAAATGCTGATTTGTTCATATTTCACATATTTTGTACATAGATCTGAGATATGTATATTGTGTACATACAAAATAAAATTTACAAGAAAGAATGAAAAATAATAAAAAAATATGTAATGAAAAGTTTTGTTTATTTGTTTTGTTTGTTCAAAGTTTTAAAATAATGTGAATTGTATCTTGCAGTGCTAAAGATGTTCTTGTTTACACTGAGGTTGAACATAATATTGTTCTAATGAATCATTACTGCTTGGTACAGAAGTACTGGTAAAGGTACTTTATGCATCTCCCCAATTTTAAGCATTGAAAACTTTAGCTCTGCCTTTTCTGTTCATTGCTACTGCTCACAAACGATATCGCAAACAAAATCATGTGTTCTCCTGTTTACACCAAGTTTAAAAAATACTATTGTCTCAGCATAGCAGTTTTGAGAAACCGTCAGTTCACATAAAACTGAGGGCACTGTTGGTCAGTTCACATAAAACCGAAAGCACTGTTGATGATAATTGATCAATCTTAATGTTTTTGAGCATCCAACAAGGCAGCTACTAGTACAATGTTTATAATGATATACTGATAAAGCTAGGAAAATCCTTAACATAGTCGTGTCTTGCAATCCACACAGGGCGACATGAAGAACAAGGTTAGTGAAAGTGACAAACTGGTTTTCATGTGGAAATTGAATTTTCTTAAATCGCTTTTAAAACAAGATCATTACAGTAAAGAAAAGAGACAAAACTAGAATGGGAGGAAAAAAATCCTACAAAACTGGAAGTGAGGAAAAAAACCTGAAGATATTGGAAGATTGAAAAATATAACAAAGTTAACAAATCCTTACATACATGTATAAATTTAAAATATACACTAATTTAACAACCATTAAAGATCAACATTTTCCTGTAGAATGCGAACTAAACATTATATAACTGTTCTTTGGTGTACTGCACATTACAATGTTCAGCCCTTTTCGCCAACAAAGAGGGTCATTAGGGCCTTCGATCGCTGACCTACGATACATTTTTTCAAGTAACAAGGTCACATTGGGTTGTCGATCATTTTTGACCCAAGCTGCACATTTTCTTAGATGTGTCCGCTAGGAATAACTGCATTGACCAATGGTTTATGTCTCTTGTAAAGGACCACACAGCAATGCTTTATGCTTAAAATCTAAGCTCAAAGCATCAAAATTCCACACAAAAAGACTTAAATGTGTTTTCCTAGATAAGTCTACATAAACAAAGAGACCCCAAGGACTGGGTCAATTTTGACCCCGTTGGAATGTCTTTAAATGTATATGCAAAATAGCTTAGTTTTCCACAAGAGGATTTAAATGTGTTTTCAGAAGTCTATAAAATCTTAGAGACACAGAAGTGGGACAGTCATTTATATAGAGGACCACAAGTCAAGGTGATGATTCATGCCAAAATATCAGCACTTGGCATTGCAGTTTCACAAAAGACATAAATTTATTTTTCTAAGCTAATCTAAATATGTCAAGGGCCACAAACCATGCTACATGCCAAAAACCTAAGTAATCCCAGGGGCATGATTTAATTATTTTTTTTGCAGAGGACCACAATACGATTCTACATGATTAATATCTAAGCTCAGTGTATTGCAATTTTAGAAAAGAAATAAATTAAATAAACAGAATAAAAGAAATAAGAAATTAAATAAACAGAACAAAAGAAATAAGAAATTTAGTAATAGAGAATTAATAAATTTAAATGCATTTCCTTATACGAGTATGTCTATAAATCAAATGACCACAGGGGCGGGTCAAATTTTGACCCTCAGATGCACATGCTTTATTTCCTAGCCAGAGGCTGGCTAAATCCTCCCCTAAACGCCCTCTTGTTATTTACGGTCGAATCTCTCTACAGTATATTCCGGTAGTGGTGCAAGCGAACGATTCTGAGAATCGTGATGATTCATATAGCTGTATTGCTTTGAAAATTGTAAATGTATCTTATCTATAATTGACCGGTGTTGTAATAGGTCTGTTGAGGCCTTTGCACGTGCACACGTTTGTTGAAAGATACATTTGTATTTAATATGTTTTTATTAAAACAATAAATATATTATTATTATAGCAGACGGCACAAACACGTGACTGCATACATGTTTACAAATGTAAATACACTGATACAGGTCTGAGAACCAAAATGGAGGAAATACGTCAAAATCCCAAGCGTAAAAATTACATTGCAGTTTTATATGGATTTAATTATATAGGTAGAAAAACGGAACATATCACACGAGAAAGACTTCGTCTACTACATCAAAAGATTTACAGATTGTTAGCAGGTCTCCCACGTTGTCAAACAAAGTGCAGCTCTCTTTATAAGTTGAAACTGAACAAATATGTAGATCTAGTTCTTATTCTGTATAGACACATCATGTGTATTTTTTGCTTATTATCTTCTTCTTAATCTACCCCTTCTTTTTTATAATGTATTTGTATTTTGCTCGCTAAGGGGCAATGTCGTACATGTATGTTTTTATTATCGCTGAATGTACATAATTACTAATAACTCAATTTACAATTTGCACACTTGGTTCAAGCGAGAGAATTGACTGCAAACTTGACAAAATGGCTACCGAATCATGAAAATTTATATCGCCCGCACGTATTTTATCCTGGTACATGTAGTTGGGTTTGTGTGTTATTTTAATTTTATTTAAATATGTCCATTCCTCTATAAGGCAATGTTTATGACACTCGGTTTTAGGTTTCAGCTTCCTAGCTTCTGATTTGACGAA